CGAACTGTATCGTAGGAGAAATAATCAATCCACCCACCTACACATCATAGAAATTATAGTACAACGGGAGAATATTACAAGTCACACAGTTCAATACCAGAAATTTCTTTTATTTTTAGCCAAATCCAGAACTTATAGTTCATTTGTGCATGGATATGCAGGTTATGCAGGTGTTCTATACTAACCAATCATTCAATTTTGAAGCACTCAAATCTCAAGATTTTCTAAATTCAAGCATTGATCATTGGTGATGTCAAAATCTTCTGGAATACATATGGCATACACATCATATGGCCTGCTATGGCCATAAAATCTCCATGAAAAACATAAAAACCATGCATATATATATGATCATTTTTGTCATCATTGATAAATATTAACTTCAGGTATATCTCGCTATTACTGAATTTTAAGTGTGTTCTCTTCCTTTCCATGGAAACAGAGCACAATTTAGTACAAATCAAAATTCAAACCAATTGGCATTTGTAGACAGTCTCCTTTTTCAGATGTACAAATACACGCTCAAAAGTTTTATGCCAAATCTACAATCTGCAGGTGTCGTTAAACAAGAAGCAACCTATTAAATTCCCGACAAGGCGAAAACAGCTAACTAACCATGAGTCCACTTTCCTTAATTTGAGCATAGCAAATCAAAGTTATAAGCAAGAAACATCAAGTGAGATCAAAACATATTCAATAAGGATTGCTAATGAGAGATGCAAGCCATCAGCGTATTGTCATCATTTGCAAAACATATGTTATCAAGATTTGTGATAATTAAACAAGCAAAGGGCCGATTATTCACCGCAGAATGCATCAGGAAGATCATCTATAAGTAGGGGTTTCCAGCTCTCTGAGATTCTCTTTGGAATCGACATTGGATCTTCAACAACCTCCTCGGTCAAGCAACCTTCCTCATGATCCATAACCATAACCTTTTTTCCTTTTGCCACAACTTCAATTGTTGGTTGAGCCCCAACCACACTATAACGACCCTAATACAGTTGAACTCCAATGTCAAACAAAATCTTGAAAATGGATACAATTAAGCATATAGTTAAAGCTCTTACAACACTAGACACCCTTGGACCAGGCTCCACTGACTCAAAAAGAAAACTTGGAGCCTCTCTATCATCTTCTTTAACCAAACACAGGTAAGCAAGCACCGAATTCAGCTGATCGGAGAAAATGCAACGGTGAAGGGGCACTAAAATTTCGATTTTTCGCGGCCTCCACAAACTTCGTTTCATCATTAACTGAAAAAAGGGGTTTCAGTTTACTATTTCTACTAAAAGCATCTACTGAATACTTAAATCCTACTTTTTCCTGCATTTTCTCAGTCATCAAAGGGAAGGGAAATCAAATGTTTTCAAATTTCAGAACAATTCAAACTAAAGATTTTTTCTACTATTTACTAGCAATAAATGACAAAATATCATTGCATTTCAGTAAATTAATTTTAGTTTCTCGTTGCACTATCTTCAACAAAGCAGTCCACATTCATCATTGTACTTAAACCATTTATTCTCACATCCAAAAATAATCCTATAAAGAATGTCTTCAAGTGTGCCGCATTTTCCCAACGGTCAAACAGTCCAAAGAAAAAAAAGTTAAAATTTACCAAGTAATGAGCTTGAAACAGAGCTGCTGCATTTGAGTGAACTACGGGAACAAATTGAATAGGGAGAAATCCGGGTGACAGGAACTTGAGAAAGCCGGTGATTTGAAGGAACCAATCGGTGAGATAACACAAGGCTAGTACTTTGCATTGTCGTTGTTAATGTCAAGAACATCGAAGTAACGGAAACGGCCAAAAGCCGGTAACCAACCTGGATTCTTCTCTTGAAATTTTGTGAAGAATTGAAGAAGAAAGCTGAGTGGGAAACAAAGCCGTTTCCAAGGATTTATGGTCTGCGTGTAATAGAAGAATGCATGGAATTTTTATTTCCCATTTTGCTCCTTTAGAAACTTTTTTTAGTTATCTCATTTCATTTAGAGTTAATTTGGTTGGCAGAAAAAAAATATATTTGGGGAATAATTTTTTTTCGAAATTATATTCTAACGTTTGTGCTCTGATAATTTTCCATACAATATTATTTCAATCATTTTAATACATTAAGGACATTTCAATAGTTTTGCTTCTAAGGGTCTTTTTAAATTTTAACCTTCTTCTAGTTAGTGGGGCATTTCATAAATTTTTCAGCTTACAGCCTTGCAATCTGATGACATTATTAATAATTTAACTTTATAACTTTAAGGCATTTCAAGGCTTACACTATTTTATCCTATTAACACTTAAGGGCAGTTTAGTAATTTAACTTCAAAAAGTGTTTCGGTCATTTAGTCATTCATAAGTTCATTTTAGTATGAAGGTGCCCGAATTAGTTGGGGTCAAATTTAATGTTTAAACTCTCAAGATGATTTTGGGGTCAGAAATATTAAATCTGGAACAAGGCGTTCAGTTTCCAATTGATAAATCTCGTACTTGTCGGGGGAGGGTCCCTTTGGGTGACATAGATCCATGCTTATGTGCTTAAAGGTGAAATTTTTTGGAAAATTGGAGTAGAAGTGAGTGTGAGCTGGAGTCTCAGGCGACTGATGAAAATGAGACAAGAAGCTCAACCTATCTTTGTAAATGCAGGTGAGACTGTTGCTTCGTGGTTTTGAGATGCGATTCAAAGCAAGGATACAAAGCTTGCTTGACAGAAATTGGTATGGTTCCCCTTCCCAAGGAGGGTATCATTTCCTGGATGATCTTATTAGGGAGGCTTCCCACTGGTGATAGACTGCTACGATGGGGCATGCAGATTAATGGTAGGTTTTGTGTTTGTCATGATGCGTTGGAGTCCATTGATCATTTGTTTTTTAAGTGTTCGTTTGCAAAGGATAATTGACAGACCATATTGAGGTTATGTGGCCTAACTAGACAGGTTAGGTGCTGCAGAGAGGAGGTATAGTGGGATATTGTTGATCTTAAAGGCATGTCTTTGCTCACCATCATCTTCAAACTTGCTAGGAATTCTTATATTTATCTCATTTGAGAAGAAAAAAACTGCAGCTTATTTAGAGGAAAAGTTAGGAACGTTGTCGTTATTCTTTCATTAGTCCGAGAGACATTTCGAATCAAGTTACATGGTAGGAACACTGCTAATGTGGATAGTATCAACTATAATCTCTATAGCAATTGGGGTATCCCTTGCTAGGGTGTTTATTGTTGTCTACTGATTGCAGACTGTTGTGTTTTCTTTATATTATTCGTTGCATGTATTTGTAGCAGTTTTTGATGTTTCTTTGGGTAATGTAAAACATTTATCCAAAAGAAAAGTTTATTGCGATCATTTCCTTAATCATGATAATTCATTTCTTTCATTATCTTAATCAGTTTACTCATTTAAGCTTATAATAACAATTTACTTATTTTAACCACCTAAAGGTATTTTAATAATTATATGCACACGAAAATATATTAAACATTCTAAAGTTTGTAAAAGAGAACTTAATTAATTATCAGAGTTCGAGACGTTTTCTTCGCAATCAATATTTTTCTTTATCAATTATTATAATCAAGAGTATTTTAGTCATTTCACTCGTTTAATGGTAATTTGATCTATTATTACATCTTATCACATAATTTGATCTATTATAATCAATATTACGATATTCTTAAAGGGTTAACTACGTTTGCATTCATTTCTGATCACGTATACACATTATTCTTAACTAGGCAATTGAATAATTTATCCTACTACTACTCAAATATTAAGTTGAGTGTCCACACAGGACAAACACAGGACAAACAGGCATAACAATTATAAATAAATTAGCTGACCTTTTTCCAACGAACACGGCCCTAAATAATTTTCTTCAATAATAAATTATCTCATTAACATCTAATTAAATAAATTGAAAATTTATCGATCAATAGATCGGATATCATTGATTAGTTAAAAAACAAACCGAAAAATTATTCAAGCTAAAATAGCATAAATAACACCACATTGAATTACAGTTCAAAAGGCGAAGGACCATAAACAAAATTACCCCTATTAATACTCTAATATCTTTCAATGATCGATCGATGAGGCTAGTTTTGAGGTATGTTGTTCATCTTCTCGAAATAATGCTTTTCACTATTCAGATTTTTTTTAACAAACACCCAAAATATCGTAAATCTAATAAAGTCTCCAAACATCTAAAAATGGTAGAATTTTTGTGTTTAATTTCATCGATTTTGAGTGAGTTTCATGAAAAATTAATTATATGAGAAGAATGAGGACTCAAATGTGAACATTTTGGTGCGAAAGATTATCAATGACGGGTGGCGATTGGCTGTCGATGGTGGCCAAAAAATAAAGTGGTAAAAAAGAAAATTGTTTAAAAGTTTAGTGGTATAATTGATATATCCCTAAAGTTTAATGTCTAAAACGATATTGTTTTAGGCATTAGAATAACCGCACCAAAACGATATAGTTTTGGTGTGACATGTTACGTCAGCAACCGTTAGTCATGTCATTATCTCGTTGATGACCTTATAGGAATTTACGAAGCAGCTGTAAAGGATGTTTAATAAAATAACAGCAGTTCTTTCATCAACAAAAAAATCTCCTTTTGATAATAGTATGATTTTAACCTCTCCTATAATTATATTAAAAGAAGGGTTAACCTGGAATCAACTACAAATTAGCTGCAGTAATAAGGTACAGTATTAGCTTATGTTAGGGTGGGTGTTGGATTGAAACAAGTACATTTCATTTCAGTTAAATATGAATATACTTTTTTTAACAATAAATATGACTATAATTTAAGAGGAGAGTTAATTTGCACTTTTAAAACAGTCATAAATCAAAAGAAAACTCCTTTGAACATTTATAGTTTAACAGTCGGGAAGAGCAAGTATTAATTTGGTAAGCTTCTATGTCACACTCACATTATAAGTACCAAAGACAAATGATGTAAAGATGATCTCTTGATTTGACTTAACCTATCGGAATTCCGAACTGATGGCAATTTGTTACAGAAATATACTAGTTTTTATAGCCTTGTTTCATGTAAGTATTGTGGTGGCAGCATTTCCTCCCTGCCAAACCTGTGGCTCACCTAACGAATCTCCACCGGCACCCAAACCAGGTGCTTCACTACCTGAACCGGGAGCACCCGAAGCCTCTCCACCTGAACTAGCTCCAATTCCGCCACCCGAACTCTCCCCTGAACCGAGTGAGGCACCGAGAGACGACAAAGTTTTTGATGTCACCGAATACGACGCAGTGGCTGATGGTTGGACAGAAAGTAGATTGGTTGGTTCTTCTTAGTCATCATGTTTTACTCTGGTCTGATATTTATTTTAGTTTTACGAAACGTTTAAGGTCCGAATTCCGATCCGTTTCGAGCACATATCTATTATGTCATAAATTTCAGCATTGAGATCCTAGTTGTGATGCTTAACTTCATTTATCTTGTTGGGCTTAAAGGCATTCTTAGCGGCATGGAAGGCAGCCTGTGATCATCCAGGGAACTCTACCTTCTACATACCCGAAGGAATATTCATGGTCGCTCCGATCACATTTCACGGCCCTTGCTATAACGACCTATCGCCTAACGTCAAGATCAAGGGAACATTATTGGCTCCGATTCGACTTACTGCATTCAAGTCCCATCACTGGATTGCATTCAAAAACCTGAAAGGGTTCGCTGTCACCGGGGGCACCGAAACGGGAAAAGTCGACGGACAAGGAGAAGCAGAAGCCTGGCAACAGTCTAGTTGCCTGAAAGCAGCAAGATGTAAGAAATTAATCACAGTAAGTTCCGTTACAAGTTATACTGAAATTACAAACATTGTTCATGCAGTATGGCAATTTCAATAACATTTTTCAATACTTTTGTTTTGCAGTCGATGTTTTTCATAAATGTTTCACATGCATCAATCAGCAATATCACGTTGTTAAACGGCAAGGGCTTCCATTTAGGTCTCCACAAAAGCAATGACATCAATATCTACAATGTCAACATTATTGCTCCTGAAGATAGCCCAAATACTGACGGCATCCATGTCAGTCATTCCTCTAACATTAGCATTTTCTCTTCGACGATCGGAGTCGGTGATGATTGTATATCCATCGGATCTGGTAGCAACAACATCTCCATTTCTGATGTCCGATGTGGTCCGGGCCACGGAATAAGGTATGCTCTAACGAGTTTGGTTCAGAAAAGAAAAACTTCCATTTACTTTTAACTTGTGCAAAAATGGCAGTGTGGGCAGCCTTGGCAAGTACAAAACCGAGACGGATGTGGTCGGTATCAGCGTCCGGAACTGCACGATAAATGGCACGGAAAACGGTATTCGCATGAAGTCATGGCCCGGAGGCCGTGCAATCAATGCTTACAATATGACATTTGAAGATATTCTTATGATCAATGTCTCCAACCCCATAGTCATAGATCAAGAATACTGTCCTTCCCATAAGTGCAAGACTACAAAAGTAAACATCTATCTTATATTTCATAAACTAAAACAAATTTTGTAGACGGCCCTTTCGACTCCTTCAAAAGAAGTTTGTGAGTACCGTCCGCTAGACATCCCGACGAACTCTCAACAACGAATATCGGTTATTGAAAGTTCGATCGATTGTCTGACAGACGACATTTGACATACTTGGTTCGAGAGTCGGAAATCCCTTTTAAGAGTAAAAGAAAACAATTAATGGATGGGTTGGTTTGTGGCATTGCAGCCCTCGCTTGTGAAGGTGAAAGACATATTGATAAGGAACATCAGCGGCACCTACAACACCAAATCAGCGGTAACATTGCTGTGCAGCTCGGATGCACCATGCGAAGATATTAGGCTTGTTAACATAAGTCTCAACTATTTAGTGCCACACACCCCTCGCCAAGGTCGCTTCAACATTAAGGGCTTTCTTAATGGCTTACAAGTTATTAATTCTAAGTTTTAGGTGTCATAAGTAATGTTGTAACCAAATTAATTGCTTGTCAGTTACTTCGGTTAGATTAAATGAAATTAATTAATTTATTGTATTAATTTTGATATTTAATTTTTTTTGTTATTAGACAGGCTAATGTATTGTTGTTAAGTTTAAGATTTTTTCTTTAATATATTTTAGTTGGTATTTAAGATTATCAATTAAAAAAATTGAATGTTTATTTAATTAAATCAAAACTGATTAACTTAATCAAAATTAACTCATTTAGTTAACAATATATTTTATTACAGGAATTTATATTTAATTTATTTTTCGTATATAAATTTATAAGATAAAAGGGTAACTTTTATCTCTGTAGTAGATCAAATTTATCACTTTTGCCTTATCGTATTTTCGTATCAATCTAGAATCGAAACCCTAACTTAAAATCTTAAATTATAAACTCTAAACCCTAAACCATAATCTCATAGCATATAAACCATAAATTCTAAATCCTAAACATTAACTTAGAGTTTATCATTTATGGTTTTATTTTATGGGTATGGTATAAAAGGATGCAATTAAACAACTTTGAGGGTTAAATCGATACGATAATACGATAGGGGTGAAAATGATAAATTGAGTCTACTACATGGGCAAAGGTGACACTTAAGCCAACTTATAAACTAAAGATGCATATCATTTATAAAATTTTAAAATAAATATATATACAACGCACAAATCAAGTGGCCTCCGTGATAAAAGAATTGTTGTTATTCTTTAAGGACCTAGGTTCGAGCACTATGAATCATGGGTGTGAGCATTCAATGTCAAAATGTTGGGAGTGTTCTTTGAACAGATATTGTCCCTTGTACTTACCACAAATTAATCAAAACTAAATAAATATAAATAATTTTTTAGAAACTAAAAAATAATTTTAAAATATTTAAAATAATTATCATAAAATTAAATATATAAATAATAAATAATAAATTTTAAAATCATATTTAATTTACTTTTATTTTATTTTGGTCACCTTCTTATTATTTAATTTTTTTAGTTATCTAACTATTATTTTTTTCAAAATCATACTTAACATTAAATTTTGATTTTATTTTAATCACTCACCGTTAAAAAGTTAATGGTTATACTGATGTGACATTACCTTATAGTTACACGTCAGTATCACTATTAATTACGAATGACCAAAACGTAACTTTAGATATGATTTTAAAATAAATAATAGCTGTGTGACCAAATAAGAATGTAAGTAAACTTTAAGTGACCGAATAGATAGTTTACCCTTAATTATTTGTGCTAAAATAAATTTCAGATCCGAAGCCTTTTCTCCTCTGCTCTCCCGTCCAAAATCAACACTTCCAATTCACCGGAACTCAAATCCCTCGCTCTCCGACCACCACTCTTCGCCACGGAAGCTGCCACCGAAGCGCGGCTAGATACTAGATCTCATCTTTAAAAAGGTACGTTCTTCGATCGAATCCGATCCAATCAATTAATCTCTGCTTAGATCATCACATTTTGCTAGAAAAAAGAAAAACCATGAACAATTACGGGAAAGGTTCATCTGGTTCTCTTAAAAGCTTCGATTTCGATCTCGGCCTCGGATCGGGTCGACCCAAATCCCTCAATGACCAAAAGAACATAACCACTTCTTCATATTCATCTTATTCATCAACAACATCCGCACAATCGAAGCCCGGGTGGCAACCAAACAAGCCGTCGTGGACTCAACAACCCGCCCCGAATCAGGCCACCCAACCTGGCTTATCTGGTCCCAGTTCCATGGTGGGAGACATTTTTGGGAAGAGCTGGGGATCGTCGGGAGGTAAGATCTCTGGTATTGGAATCGTTAACAAGAACCCTAATTTGTTTGGAGATTTGGTTAGCTCTGCTTTGGGACAGGGGAAGAGTAATATACTAATTCTAATGTTCCTTTGAAGAATTCCAATCCGACTTCAAATTCTTCGAGTAAAAGCACATACTCAATGGGGAATTTGACTGATTCATTGGCCAAAGGTACTGGGAATTGGGGAACTTCCAGTGGATATAATAATAACAGTGGTATTGGAAGTAGTAATGTTAATAATAATAGTAAGAGTCAGAATCTTGGTGGGGCTCCGATGAAAAGTATGGCCGGAGGAGCAGGTGGAATCGGAGTTAAAAGTGGGATTGGTTCAAAGGACCCTTTTGGTTCTTTGGTTGATTTTTCAACAAAACCATCGGGTAGCCTTAATATGGTAAGTAATAAAGGAAATAAGACACAGGTTGCAGAAGAAGCATTTGGGGATTTTCAGAATGCTTTAAAACCGAGCACAACTGCGTTTCCATCGAGTGGTTTCAGTTCGAGTAATAATGATTTTATGGGGTCAAATGTGGCTTCTGGTTTGAACATGGATGATTTTGGAATGCCTGCAAAGAATGTTGGATCTCAAAGCCAACCATCCGTTCAAAGCTCGGGCAGTGATCCTCTCGACATGTTCTTTTCATCGTCTTCAGCTTCGACCAGAGTTGCTTCCCAAGCATCTGGTGGAGGTGGAGAGCAGCAATTTTCAGGAGTTGATGATTGGGGGTTGGACTCTGAGTTTGGAGGAGTGGGAGAAGGCAATGATGGCAGCTCAACAACGGAGCTTGATGGGCTTCCTCCACCCCCGGCTGGTGTCACTGCATCTTCTGCAAAGAGCAAGGGTATCAACAACCAGAAACAAGGCCAGTATGCTGATGCCATTAAGTGGCTGGCTTGGGCAGTGGTTCTGCTTGAAAAGAATAACGACAAGGCTGCCACCATGGAGGTTTTATCATGTAGGGCTTCATGTTATAAAGAGGTCGGTGAGTATAAGAAGGCTGTAGCCGATTGTTCAAAGGTAAAATGAATCTTCAAACTGCTAGATATTATAGTTCCTTATTAATGTGAACATTTATATTGGAATTTTATTGCATGCAAATAGTTTGCAAATGAATTTGTGAATTTACGTAATCCTTCCTGAGACAGGGCATTGAGGTTTGATAAGATGTTGGCTCCAGAGCACGTATTTAAAAGTTCATAGGGTTAGGCTCCTTGTCATTGTTAATTATTGATCTCAAACAAATGTGAGAAAGAGAGAGAGGGAGTAATTAGTATGATACTCTATTTGCACTCTGCAAGGTTCTTTAATTATTTATTCATCTAGATGTTGTTGCTTGCATTCTTATCGATCACATCTATTGAGATTAATATAGATTGATGATCCGCAAGTTTTTCCGAAACAACGGAGCTTGATGGGCTTCCTCCACCCCCCGGCTGGTGTCACTGCTCTCTGCAAAGAGCAAGGGTATCAACAACCAGAAACAAGGCCAGTATGCTGATGCCATTAAGTGGCTGGCTTGGGCAGTGGTTCTGCTTGAAAAGAATAACGACAAGGCTGCCACCATGGAGGTTTTATCATGTAGGGCTTCATGTTATAAAGAGGTCGGTGAGTATAAGAAGGCTGTAGCCGATTGTTCAAAGGTAAAATGAATCTTCAAACTGCTAGATATTATAGTTCCTTATTAATGTGAACATTTATATTGGAATTTTATTGCATGCAAATAGTTTGCAAATGAATTTGTGAATTTACGTAATCCTTCCTGAGACAGGGCATTGAGGTTTGATAAGATGTTGGCTCCAGAGCACGTATTAAAGTTCATAGGGTTAGGCTCTTGTCATTGTTAATTATTGATCTCAAACAAATGTGAGAAAGAGAGAGAGGGAGTAATTAGTATGATACTCTATTTGCACTCTGCAAGGTTCTTTAATTATTTATTCATCTAGATGTTGTTGCTTGCATTCTTATCGATCACATCTATTGAGATTAATATAGATTGATGATCCGCAAGTTTTTCCGATGAAGTTATGTTGTCAATTTCTCTATCCAGGTGCTAGAGCATGATGAAACCAATGTGCAAGTCCTTGTACAACGTGCACTGTTGTACGAAAGCATGGAGAAATACAAACTAGGGGCTGAAGATCTAAGAACTGTTCTGAAGATTGATCCTGGCAATAGAATCGCTAGAAGTACAGTCCATCGCTTGGCTAAAATGGCGGACTAGAAGGTTTGATGATTCTTTTGTTTGTATTATCATTCTTCATTTAGGTTGATATCCTTTCCCCCTCATACTAAGAACAGAACTAAGGGGAAGTAATAACTCTTTTATCCTAGATATGTGGTCTTTCAATGTCTCATTGTGGAGGGTCAACGTGTATGGTGTGACTGGATATTATATCTTGTTTTGATCGAGGTTTAGAAACGGCTCATCTTTGATATTCCTAAACTGCTTCGTTGTTGCTTTCAGAACAATATAGTCATTTAATACTTGTTTGCTATGGTATACGAACAGTTGTGGTATTGTATTGGATTGTGTTCTGTCATGTGGTACCTATGGTTTTTTTTGCTTGTGTGCCTTTTGGTTCTTTAATGGATGATATTAGACAGCATGGTGAAATTGAACCCGAGATCCGTTAGCTAAACAGATTTAGAGAATTTGACCTCATAGATGGTTATCATCTGCCTATACCTGGAAATTTATCAGGGATGAATGAAGTTTAGAATCAGCAAACCACCCATTGGAAGACCATTTTAATAGTAAACATGGGAAAAGAGAAAAAGCATGTAATTCTAAACCATCCTGAAGATGAGGTCTATGACTGTTACCTGTATTCAGATTGTCTTGTGTGATTTTGTATTCGATTTAGTTATGTTGTGTAAAACACTTTAGTTGTATATTGATTTAGGATTACTGGAAATGATTAGAAAATGAAAAGACATTTAGGGGTGGTCATTTAAGATTTCCACCCCACTTTGTCCTCTTTGAGGCATGCCACCATCACACCCAGCTGGTTCCACTAATTGAATTGAAAAACAAAAATTGGGATAATTCACCAAAACTAGTAAAAAAATCAAAAACAACAAATTATATTTCAAATCCAAAAATTGTCAAGGTTAAGGTTAGGTGCCATAAATATGAACAAAAATTGGTATCTAATCTCTTAAGAAATT